GGGTGGTCAAAAATTGAATTACCGTTTCTCCATATTCAACGGGGAGAAAGTCGAAAATTTTCCTCATATTGCCTCATATTTTATTAGCCTACACGAAAGGAAATTTAATTCTCTACAATTTATCTATTAACATTCCTATATCTACTTATTGTAGTTTCTCTCATATTCGTAAATTTATGAAAACATGCAGGAAATGCAGGAAACCGTTTATATTTTTATTAGAAGGCCATGACATTTTGACAGTTTTTTGTTTAATTTATTTCTATTATTATTTGTACTATTAACTGCGATTGATAATCTTTTAGTTTACTAGCTTTTACTTACCAAAAATAACAAACAGAAGATCAAATAAATGAAACTATTAAAACAAGAAGTTAATGACAAAAATTAGATTTGAATAAAAATATAAATTTGTTATTAAATTGAATTTGGAAATGCAATAAAATACAGTAAATATTTATTTCGTTGTCTTCATCACTAGTTACCGGAAATATGCGATATCTTTTTGTCTCGATATATCCGGAACTAAGAAATTCTTTATCAATTTTTTGAAATTTTTCCTTGTGATGAGCGTTAGGTTTGTTAGGCATCTCTCATTAAGTGTTCGACACGTTCTGTCCAAAACTTTATTACATTCGCCATCAATACAAAATAAATTTCAAATATCGGCGTTGGAATAATTTACCACGATGTTCAATGACTTACACCCGTTGTAAAATGTAACTGATGACTCAAATGACAACAATAATACAAACATGGACCAAAAACTGTCAAAATTCCATAGCTTTCTAATAAAAATACCTGCGTTTCGTGCATCTTTTAATAAATTTCGCAATATGAGGCAAACTACAATAAATAGGTATGGGAATGTTTATAGATAATTTGTAGAGAACTAAATTCTCTTTCTGATAGGCTAAAAAAATATGGGGCGTTCCATTTAAAATTTTCGACTTTCTCCCCGTTGAATATGGAGAAACAGCAATTCAATTTTTGACCACTCTGTATAAGATACTCCGATACAACAAATTTAATAACAATCTACTTCACAACATCTGAAGAGTAATCGTGCCAACGTAGATCTTTTTTGAATGAACGTTGGCTAAGATATGGAGTTTTAAATTATGGGCGACTTTTATCAAAGTTAACCTACTTTTATACATACAATTAAACGGTGTAATAAAAAGTATAGCATTCCATTTAAAANAGGCGGTTACATAACGAAGGAACCGACTACCCCTTTTTTTGTAAGTACCTGTCACGGTGATTTACCACTGCACAAATTCGACGGCTCGACTATAGTACCATTTTTTTCACAAAAAAGATACAACTAAAAAATATATTAATGTAACTTGATCAAAATACATAAATTCAAATAATACTATCTTTTAGAAACCTACAGTGAAAAAGTAGTTATAATACTTTAAACACATTTTAAAATACTTCAGAAATTATGATACTGACAGCAGCGTGACAGCATACAACATTATTTGCAATATGAAATAAACCTACATGAGACCTACTTTGAGATGGGTCACTATGTCTGAAAAAACTACAACACTTACCACTATAGACACAACACGAAATGTGTCACTCTTTAATTAATTCTACAAGTCAAATTTTGAAGTGTGTCAATGACATCGGCGCTTTCTACCGGTAATCACCGTAAGTATGAAAGTGGGATTGTTTGTGTAAAAAGAATGTACCTTTTCGCGTATGTTGATGTAAACATCTCAAAATTGGCAGATTTTGAGTTGTGCCGATATTTTAGCAAATGAACGATATGTTGACCAATTTTTGGGTTAATTTAGCTCATCTTAACAATAATTGCGCCTCGGCCGCAGGCGACCTTGACTTAATTATGCATAAGATCTATAAGTTTACTTGATAAAGCCGAGGTAGCTTGCGCCCGAGGTGTTACAATATGATAACCAATTTTTTGTTGATTAACATTTACATTTTCACTTAATGTATATTTCTGACATATTTTGATGTATGTACAGGATGGTTCAAATTCGATGTCCGAATAGGCTAACTCGGAAACTATAAGAGTTAGAAAAAAAGTAGCTGACATGTTATGATCTCGTTTTTCGAGAAACTGCTAATGCCGAAAACCTCATAGCGATATCGTCTTTTGTTTTTACCCTAGAGGCCAAAATTGAAAATATCGTAAAACCANTGAAAATATTTTAGATCGAAAGTTCCGAATGAACAACCCATGCTACCAAAATTTCAAATCTCTACGAATAGTGGAACCTGAAAAAGTTCTAACGAACCAGTTACGTGAGACACCTGTATTAAAACGTAATCAATGACATCGGCGCTTTCTACCGGTAATCACCTTTTCGCGTATGTTGATGTAAACATCTCAAAATTGGCAGATTTTGAGTTGTGCCTATATTTTAGCAAATAAACGATATGTTGACCAGTTTTGGATAAATTTAGCTAATCTTAACAATTGCGCCTCGGGCGCAGGCGACCTTGACTTAATTATGCATAAGATCTATAAGTTTACTTGATAAAGCCAAGGTAGCTTGCGCCCGAGGTGTTACAATATGATGACCAATTTTTTGTTGATTAACATTTACATTTTCACTTAATGTATATTTCTGACATATTTTGATGTATATACAGATGGTTCAAATTCGATGTCCGAATAGCATTGAGGTCTTATATATAATCTAGAGAGCGTATGTGGTGGTGGTGGGGGTAATCAGAAAGTCAGACATGTTGGATGTACCGACCTGAACTTAGCTATAGTTTCAAGTCTCTATTGTACCTACAATTATAACCTCACAATTCTCATAAACATATTGTTATTTTTATTAAAATTTGATTTTTGATGAAAGTTTTCGAATTCTTTTCGTTTCACATATGTTTTTTATAATTTGGTAGGTTGGACGATTATTTACAACAGTCCATAAAATGTTTCTGGTTACTTGACTTGGAATAACAATTGAAGACCTCGGTATAAGAAGGGGACAACTCCTTCTCTTGATAAATGGAGCTACTCCCTTCTTGCACCGAGGTCTTCAATTGAAGTTCAAGTAAAGTTTATTATTAAGGACTGTTCAGTTTTTTTTAAATAAACTCTCAATTATTTATAAGCAAATGTTAACGTGATCAATCGGAATTGCTTTAAATATTTTCTTCTTAGTTTATGTTAAGTATAAGGGTTATGGCTAAAAATTATTAAGTTCTTTTAAAATATTATATAATTAATAATTATTTATCAATAAAAAATTAATGTTTTGTTTTGGTTATCATTTTCTGTCTTCCAGTTTATAATAATGTAAATTCTTGTATAAGCATATATAAGAATTTCGAATTTCCCGCTAAGTTGGTACATCTAACATGGCGACCTTTCTGGCTTCATTTTAGGCGTGGTGGGGGCCACAGCATACGCACTCTAGATTATATATAAGACCTCAATGCCGAATAGGCTAACTCGAAAACTACCCATAAGAGTTAGAAAAAAAGTAGGTTACATGTCATGATCTCGTCTTTTGTTTTTCCCCTAGAAGCCAAAATTGAAAATATCGTAAAACCAATAAGTGCAATTATCTTGGTTATTATTATAGGTGGAGTATTATAACTACGGCATTATATGGACACTTTTTAAAGAGAATTTCATGACGTAGTCAAAAAAAATTTTTCGGTTTTAGATTTTGAGATATCATGAGAATTTTCGTTGGAAAATGGAAACAACCACTGATTATTCGCTTATTAAATTCGCTATTTTTTTCTGATTACAAAAATATAGGGTTTGACAGGTCTATTTCTTATTGTTTTAGAATAAAGCTAAAAATAAACTTTTTTTGTAAAATTTCCATCTAGCGTCGTCGAGGATATTAAATTTACAGTTTCCTGTAAGTTACGGGGCGGTAGGTAAAATCTAAAAAGATAACAATTAAATACGAAGATAACTTCTGGTAATAAAAAACAAATAATTTTTTAATATGTAACATTCTAAAATGTCAAACTTTTCAAAATTTTCGTTTCTTTAAAAAAAAAAACATGCAAAAAAATAATATTAAATCGTAATAAAAAATGTGAAATAATGCAATCTATTCCAACTTTTGTGTAAAACATATATAAATTAAACAGTTCAACAAATATATTTGTTTCAAATATCAGAAATATGTTTTTTTAATTTTTAGTTATAGAACCGTAATTTACAGGAAACTGTAAATTTAATTTCTTCGACGACACTAAAAGAAAAGTTTATTTTTAGTTTTATTCTAAAACAATAAGAAATAGACCTGTCAAACCCTATATTTTTGTAATCAGAAAAAAATAACGAATTTATTAAGCGAATAATCAGTGGTTGTTTCCATTTAAAAAAACGAAATTTGTGATAATATCTCAAAATCTAAACCCGACAAATTTTTTTTGACTACGTCATCAAATTCTCTGTAAAAAAGTGTCCATATAATGTCTTAGTTATAATACTCCACCTATAATAATAACCAAGATAATTACATTTGCAGGTTTTACGATATTTTCACTTTTGGCCTCTAGCGGAAAAACAAAAGACGATAGCACTATGAGGTTTTCGGCATTAGCAGTTTCTCGAAAAACGAGATCATGACATGTCAGCTACTTTTCTTCTAACTCTTATAGTTTTCGAGTTAGCCTATTCGGACATAGAATTTGAACCATCCTGTACTAAGTTTTTGGCGAGCGCTATACATACGGTTGTGAAACATCACGAGATCGCCTATTTCACTTCAACGATTTACTGTCGCACTCCTTCTGCACAGTTAATGGATTTGCCAAGCTAAATTGTATTTATATAATTATTACGTATTTTTTAAATCAAAATATTAATGGATATTATTAAAATAATGATTACATTAAATTTTCAAAGATATTTGTTATTGTTGGAATCAAAGTTATTGATATAACAACATGTCTAATCTATAACTGGTAAATCTATTTTTAATCATAGCGCCATCTATGAGTGTTTATTGAAAGTATTTAAACGTCAAATTCTTTTCTGATCTGTCAGTTTCAATTCAAGTTTGAGGTAAGATCTTTTCAGTTAATAACCACGATTAATATAATTTTAAACTTGTAGCGTGAATATTTTTCGATCTTAATAATTAACCTAATTTTTGAAAGAATGTCTTTCGCCACATTAACGAACGCCGAAGAAGAGCTACTTTCAACGTGGTTTTCCGAATGTAAAGAGAATCCTCGAAACTACGTCGAACCGGTTTTGAATTCATCAACCGTTGATGTAATAAAACAGTGCTGCGACATGTTAAAACAGGACAGTCACGTTTTTGTAATGACCGTTGATATCCTTACCAAATACATTATGGTTATGAACGAGAAAAACGTCGAAATTGAAAATCAACTGTTAACAATTTTAAGTGTAATTTGCATCGGTAGTAAATACGTCGGTGAGTTATCCGAATTAAAATTTACACCGGTTGCAACGTTATATAAAAACATGACAAATAGGCGAATTGAAAAATCGAAATTTAAAAGAATGGAAATGAAAATTTTGGTTGATCTGGATGGAAGTTTTCCAATTTGTTTTGTCATTGATGACGTCAAGGCATTAGCGCAAGTTTACATGAATAAGTTAAATTTAATCGTCGATTTAAATCGATTATGTATAGAAATATTAGATGTTGTGTATATTTATTATCGAAGACTATTTAATCGTTTACGTAACTTTTATGGTGTAAATCCAACTGCTGCGGAAGCTTTCAAAGAATTAATTAAGCATAGATTGTACATTCCGTGTGGAGTTTTCTTGAGTGCTTTTAAATTAACAAAATTAAAAAATGTTATTTGTTTAGACACTCTGATAAATGGACTTTGTGATTTGGTTGAAATACATAGGAATCATCTTGAGTTACTTACTACATATATTTTAGAGATTTTTGATTAAGTTGTATTAAATAAGGAATATAAGGTAATAAAGAAGTTGTTTTCATGATTTTGTATCTCTTATTATTAAGGGGTACCACCCCTTCGGTATGTATAAAAAATTATCCCGATAATCTGAATGGCTGACCATAAACCAACTCTGCGAATGAACAACCTAAGTCCTCCTTAGAGATGATCTGAGACAAAATCTTCAGGCTCTTTACAATTCGGCAGAGTTTCTTTGGAAGATGCTTTATACAGATTAAATTTGTTTCGTTCCACTATGTGTCCTGTTTGCAATTCCACTTGATAATATAGGTCTGATATAGGTCTATCTGCTTTATCAACAATTTTAGCTGGTGTCATGTGTTGTGTTCAATAAAACACGTGCTTTCCTTTGCTACGTTCTTTATTAACTGGTCCTAACTTGATGCACACATATGTAATACAATGTTCTATACGGTAACGCCATCCAGTGGTCTAAGTTAACAATACATTACAACTTCATCAACAATGCTTACATCTAAATACTTCTTAAGATATTAAACTAATTTATGAATACATGTATTGGTATTTATTTTTTACAATACGGCCTGATCTCGTTTTGTAAGCGTTCATGTCAGTCAGTATTTCTTTCTCATGTTTTGGTGTGTTTGTGCTGTCCCGTACTGCCTTTTCATCTCTTTTGGTGTGTTCATTCTTCATGTTTTCGTCTCTTTCCTGATTTTTCCTTTCATCAGTTTCGTCAATGGGAAACGTTTGGTTTTTTCTTTTGAATTTCTCATTCCTTCGGTACTGCTTATCTTCATTATCAATAACCATGTACGATCTCGGTTCTGTCAAATTTTTGCTTATTTTCCCTTCCTGCTTCCTTCCAGCTTCCTTCCAAACGTTTCTTAAAATAAATTCTTTCATCTTCGTTGAACCTGTCCTCCGTCTTTTTTGAGTTTTTGTCATAGTTCTGTTTATATAGTTTTTTACTTTTTACAATTTCCTTTCGGTCGTAATTTAAGGTTATTTTCGGCTTTAATGTTTTTACGGTAGTGGGTATGTTGGTTCTTAAATTCCTACTATATAACATTTCAGCTGGAGAGCTTATTTTCCCTCGTTTCGTATTTCGCATGTTCAGTAACGCTAAGTACACGTCTGAGTTGTCTTCCTTGCATTTTTTTAATAAGTTCTTAACTCGTTTTACGGCTGACTCGGCCATTCCATTCGACTGTGCATAATGGGGACTTGATATTGTATGGGTAAAGTCCCACTCCATGGCAAAATTTTTAAATTCTTTACTGTTGTAGTATAAGGCACCATCAGTAAAGACTTTTGTTGGTATTCCATGTCTTGCGAAGACTGCCTTAGACTTTTTTATTATTGTTTTACTGGTTAGATCTTTTAACCTTTCAACTTCAATAAAATTTGACAGATAGTCTACCACGACCATGTACTGTGTTTGATCACACTCAAAAACGTCCATGCCTACTTCCTGCCATGGCAGAACCGGTATTTCTCTCAAAATCAGTTGTTTTTTCTGTTTGTTTGCTTGAAATTTATTACATACCTTACATTCATTAACGAATCTCTCTATATCCCGATTTATTCCAATCCAATACATAGATCCTTCTGCTCTACTTTTATTTCTTACTACGCCTGGGTGACCCGTGTGTAGCTTTTCTAGCATAATCTTTTTTAGAACTTCAGGTNAGGTTTGGTGAGAGCGCAACTTCAGATAAGGTCCGGTATACCAAATTTGCAACCTTTGGTAAAGTTAAGTCTTGCGCGCTGTGGATTTGAAGTTCCCCCTAGACAAGAACAAAACCTTGATCAACCAGGACCACCAGCAAAACGCAAAAGATGTGCCTTATGTTCACGGCAAGATGAAAAAAAACGAACCTTTATTGTTCTAAGTGTAAAACTGCAATATGTAAAAATCATTCTTATATTATATGTTCTAATTGTCATAAATAAAATATTTTTTATCTATAATGTAAAATAGACCTTAAACATTGTTCTTATAATTTGGTTTTCTCAAATAAAGTTTGTTCCTAAATAATAACAACATTCTTTACATGGGGTCATATAGACCCCGTTGTGCACTCCGTGTGACTCAAAAAGACTGTGCACTCGGAAGGTTATACAGATTAAATTTGTTTCGTTCCACTATGTGTCCTGTTTGCAATTCCACTTGATAATATAGGTTTGATATAGGTTTATCTGCCTTATCAACGATTTTAGCTGGTGTCATGTTGTGACTATTATCTTTAACGTCTATTTCTCCCTTAGAATAATCAGGCAAATTCGCAATATTCTTGCGATCATGGTAATACTTATAAACGTTCTGTGCATTTTGAAGTTTTATTTTGTCCTCATCATACCTTCTGTTCGCCCTAAAAGTTATGTTTCTTCCAAACATTATGTCAATTGGCGATTTGTTAATATTCTCACCAATAGGCGTATTCCGATATTCCATCAATGCAATATACGGATCACAACCGCTCTCTTCTGTTTTTTTTTTAGCATTTTTTTGATCGTCTGTATACAATATTTTATCAGGAATTGAATAGTAAAATTTGACGTTATCAGGTATTATTTCGTACTTAAGCCATCCTTTTTGTACATAATCCATAAGTAGAGATAATTCTGGATTTTTCTATGTTTCAGATTTAAATATTTTAAGTTTATCATTTGTTAAAGACATATTTTTCTCAATTAAACACAGATGTATATGCATTTTTTTATCAATATCAACTAAAGAACTAGTTTCATAGACCTCCTACAACTACCGCCTGACACAAACCATAACTTGATATCAAGTAGTGTTGTGGGTTGCAGCAATAACTGATAGGGAGGGAGTAGTATGAATATGAAAAAATTGTTTGTGTAATAGGTTCTACAATTCGATATCTGTTAGTTGAGCTCTGTAAAGTGTAAGTGTAGCAGGGTACTGAGAATTCAGAGATTCAATATTGTCCTGGACAAAGTGTCTGCAACAATATTGGAATTTCCCTTAATATCTCTCACATAGGATGTATATTGTGTTATGTAATTTAGGTACTTGGTTTGGCTTGGTGTTTTTTTGTTGATGAAAATATTACCGTAGTTATTATTAGGTTTGTAGCCGGTGAAAACTAAAATGGTTTCCATTTAGGAAATGTTTAAAAAATTTTATGGCGGAATATATTGCCAATAGCTCTTTGTCGAAGTTGACTCGGAGAAAATGTATGTAAATAAAATGCTAACGGTTGGGGTCTTTCGTCGATAATTTGGGTTAGAACTGCTCCTATACCTGTATTAGAAGCATCTGTTGTGACAGCGAAGCATGACGGGGCGGATGAGTCAGAACGGTAGATTTTGTTACAAGATCTTTAGCTGACGTGAACGAAATTTTATGTTCTTCTGACCAAAAGGTTATTAATTTTTGTTTAAGCGAATAAAATAATGATGAAAGCTTATGAAGGGGTGATAAAATATTCGTTCGGTAAAAATCTATGATAAAAATTTATCATGCCCAAAAATGTTTGTAGTTTCTTTAATGGGTTTGGTAATTTTGAAATAGCATCAATCTTAGACTTAGAATATGGCGTGCCATACTACGCTACACGTATGCAATAACTAGCAGTATAACTGCAGTAAATTTTTGTGTGAAATAAAAGTTTTCTTCATTATTTTCCTAAGACTAATATCTGCGGAAGTACGTAGCGGTTTTTTAAAATGTTGATTTTTGTCAATTTTATAGGATTATTATGACTGAGAACTGCATTTTTTGCTAAAATACCTAATGAAACACAATTAGCTGTAAGTTTAACAATTTTTAATTTATCGAAAAACTGTTACGTACTTCGCTACAGAAAGGCATTTTACATTTACAATACGAAATCATTCGGTTAAAAATTGTTTGACTTGTGCTAGTAGCCAATCTTTTATTTACTTTTTATTTTTATATACCAGATCAACATATTAAACAATTATATATATACGTTCTACAGGTTGTTTTAGTATCTATTCATTACATTTTTAATTCGTTAGAAGGCGGCTGACATTTCGTATATTCAGATTGTATTCTCTTGCGGAACTACAAGATTGCATTTTTTGAAAGAAAGTTGTTGTCCTATGTATAAAATTCTCAATCGTCTCTATATTTAAATCGTTTCTTATTTGTTCATTTCTAACAAACCAGGGTGCATCTACTGCTATTCTAATGACTTTGTTTTGTAACGATTCTAATTTCTTAATATTTGTTTTTGATGTATTGCTCCACAACGGGCTAGTATAAGTAATTAGTGAGCGGATTAGTGATTTATATAGTAATATGGTGCAGTTGGTTTTTAAGTTTGATTTTCGGTTTATAAGTGGATATAATTCTCGTAACCTGTTGTACCCTTGGTTTAGTTTGTAGTTGATATGTATNTTCCATTTAGGAAATGTTTAAAAAGTTTTATGGCGGAATATATTGCCAATAGCTCTTTGTCGAAGTTGACTCGGCGAAAATGTATGTAAATAAAATGCTAACGGTTGGGGTCTTTCGTCGATAATTTGGGTTAGAATTGCTCCTATACCTGTATTAGAAGCATCTGTTGTGACAGCGAAGCATGACGGGGCGGATGAGTCAGAACGGTAGATTTTGTTACAAGATCTTTAGCTGATGTGAACGAAATTTTATGTTCGTCTGACCAAAAGGTTATTAATTTTTGTTTAAGCGAATAAAATAATGATGAAAGCTTATGAAGGGGTGATAAAATATTCGTTCGGTAAAAATCTATGATAAAAATTTATCATGCCCAAAAATTTTTGTAGTTTCTTTAATATTTTTGGTTTTGGTAATTTTGAAATAGCATCAATCTTAGACTTAGAATATGGCGTGCCATACTACGCTACACGTATGCAATAACTAGCAGTATAACTGCAGTAAATTTTTGTGTGAAATAAAAGTTTTCTTCATTATTTTCCTAAGACTAATATCTGCGGAAGTACGTAGCGGTTTTTTAAAATGTTGATTTTTGTCAATTTTATAGGATTATTATGACTGAGAACTGCATTTTTTGCTAAAATACCTAATGAAACACAATTAGCTGT